TTAATTGCAAAGAGGAATCCAGTAAACAATTGCATATTGGATCAAAAGAACTATCGTCCAATAAGCACTGGTAAATTAAATTTTAACTAAGTAATAACTTGTAATATATAGTACAAATAATAACTTAATTACTACTTAATCACTAGATAATATGTGTATATTATATTTACTAGCAAATATATTTAAATACATATATTACTTATAATTAAATTATTATTTGTGCTGTATATTACAAGTTATTATTAAAATTTAATTTTTTAACCAGTGAAAAAAATGAAATGGATTAAATTTGTCGTTTCTTCAGCTTCACTTTTCCTTAGCTTTGTCTCTTTAACTAATTTCACCTTTAGTTAGTTTCGCCACCCTTTGTCAGTTTTGTCATTCGCCAGTTACGCTATTTTTTTTGCGAATGCCAAAACCGAGTTTCGCCTTTCGCCAATAGTTAAACTATAGAACGTGTTAGTTACAATCATTATTACAAGACTTAGTTAATTACCACTAAACTTTTATGGTCATAATATGTGAAATAATAGTAGATTCCAACTCCACTCGTTAAACTAGCTATAATACCCCAGGAAGCAAATTTCGAGTTTTGTGAATGGTTTCGCCTAATAAATAAGGCGTCTAAAACGTTACAATTACGTAAAAGTCTCCATAAATTTTCAATGACGTGTCTATAAGGCGCGATAATTTCGATATTTCCTATTACAAATGGCAAATTATTGTATATGTTTGATCATTGATTAATTTCGTTTGAATGCAGGCACTTGAAAATGCTCCTAAAATGGGGACACGATTACGTGAAAATGATGCTAAGGAGACACGATTACGTGAAAGAATGGTGCAATATATCGAATCACTCCAGGAGCGTATTGTGAAAGAAATTGAATCTATTGATGATAAAAAGTTTTTGATTGATCGTTGGGAACGCGAACAAGGTGGTTATGGTATTTCTTGTATCCTACAGGATGGCAAAGTTTTTGAAAAAGCTGGCGTAAATATTTCGGTAGTAT